ACACACACACACACACACACACTCACACACTGACTGAACAAACTCCACGGAGCCTCTGAGCAGATGAATTAATAACAAAGTTCCCATCAAACTTTAAAACCCGTATTGTGACATCTTAGGTCGCTCAGAGGCCTGAAACACTTTTCACAATAAAGGTTCGAATCAGAGGCAGAAAAACACGACCTCATCCTGCTCTGTTTGCAAATGTTGCTTTATTAGTATCTCCTAGCAACAAGTTTTCTTTCYAGCTTTCTTAGAGAAAATCAAACATTTCTCACAAGAAATCTGGTGAGAAAACTTTGTTTTATTGATGTTATTGAAGCTTTCAGGAAGTTGACATCTGCAGCAGATTGGGGCACATCGCAACCAAGATGGCTGCCACAGCAAACACAAAAATGCCTATAATTTGGTTAATTTTGCAGACATTGAGCTTAGATTTTTTTGTGGTAGTAGCTGAGACTGATCCCCAACCTACAGTCTGAGCTCTAAACGATCTGGGCCTGTCTGTTAGCAAAATATCTCATCGAACGCTGGCTGGCTTTTACTGAAATTAAGCCAGGTGTGGTGGTAGCTGAGAGTCATCTCTGACACGCACTCTGTCTCAGAATGCTGCATGAGATTGTGCCTAATTTTAATCTCAAGGTTTGATCAAAAAAAAGCTCCTAACTTTGTCATTTCTCCTCAGAAGATGATTTATTGAAACTTCCTGTGTTTGACGCCTTCTTTCCCGTCAGGGCGAGCGGCGGCTGAGAGGCTGCAGCCGGCAGCTGCAGGTTAAGTGCAGTTTTAACGTGAAGCTCTAATCCTATAAAGTCTCTAATTGCAGAAATGTGGGGAAGGTCCCGAGGCTTCAGGTGTTAGCCTAATGTGAGGCTAATGTTGTTTTAAAGCAGAGTAATCGGACTTCAGTCCTTCCTGAATCTTCTCCCCCTCTTACTGCACGTGTTTAATCTGATTTCCCTGTGATTTGTGCTCACATGAGCTGAAAACCATCTGACAGCAGCATGTTGGTGCAGAACGTGTGTGTGTGTCTGTGTGTGTGTCTGTGTGTGTGTGTGTGTGTGTGTGTGTTAAACAGTGAATGATTAACAGAACCCTGTAGTTGCATTGTCTCTGTGTCTTTTTGTGTTTTTCATCATTAAAATTCAATTATTAGGTTTAATTTGTTCACTTTTGTGTTATGTTGCTGTTTATGTTTTGTGCTTTTTAATGATGCTTTTTAATTATAAGTTGTCACGTTTTGTTTCTTTGTGATCATGTTTTATCTTTTCTTGTTGTTTCTTCCATTTTTTTGCTCAGTTTTGTWATTTTTTGTAAGTTTCTGACAGATTTTACCAAAAAAAAAAGTTTGGCTATCCATTTGTATGATCAATAATAAACTTTTAAACTTTGCTMTTGAGTGGTAAAAGAACATAATTTAATTTTGAAACAAAAGTTTAAAGTTTTCTAGCTGAATCTTTTCTCTTGTGATCACAGAAAGAAAACTGAGCTCCTGTTTTTAAAGAGGATGAGGAGGAGATGAAGGTAAAACATTTACATTAACATTATTCTGCTTAAATGTAGAATAAAATTAATAAGATGCAAAAACACGTCCGTGAAATAAAAAAAGTTTCTCTTAAGTTGTGTTTATTCAATTGTTGGCCACTTTCTTATGTAGCTAGACACTTTTAGTTAGCCTTTTGCAACTTTTAGCATTTATCTATTTAGCTTTTCACATGCCTTTTTTTTGCTTTTAGTCTCTAGCTTTTAGCTACTTTGGCTTTAATTAGCTTTTTGCTACTTTTAATTAAGTAGCATTTGCTACTTTTAGCTTTTAGCTGATTTTCTGATTTATTAAGCTTTGACAACTTAGTTTCAGCTTCTTTAGCACCCTGTTTTAACATAAAATACATTTTTCTCTGCTTCTGTTTGCTTAACTGATGCATTGAAATCAGTGGGATTTAATTTAATTCCACTAAGTTAAATGTTTAATAAAATTAAAATATTCAGTAACCATTTCTATAACAGTTTCTATTACAATATAATTACATTGTAGCCTAATTATAGGGGACTGTAAAAGCTATTATTATATATTGTTCTTCTAACATAAGGCAGCTGTAAACTTTATGTAATTTTAATTATTTTATATTTCCTTTTAATTTTCACAGCAGATAATCAAGCATGTGATTTAATGTGTTTTTGTGTGTTTGTGGGGGGGGGGGTGCACGTGGCTACACAGAAATAAAGTTTATCCATAATTTAACACTTTGGATGGAAAACAGAGAGAAGCAGCAGCTGAAAATAACTCAAATCATTCCTTTGTTCTAAAATCTGAAAACTGCATCAAAAATAATTTATTTACCAAAAAGTGCATTGTTTGTATTTTTTTATTTTTAAATTGTGACGTACCTCTGAGTTTTGTCACGACACGTCTTCATCACCGGAACATCATCCTCATCTTCAGATTTCAGATTCATCCCATGATGCSTTTCTAAGTTTTACATTTCCACATAAAAACTGACTGGAAGCTCCAAGAAAACAACAACAACAACAAAAAATAATATTTCCTCCTGAGAACAAATCAAACCTTCTTCTCCTCCTGAAACTCTGAAGTGTTGAGGAGACTCCGGTCAACTGGAGACAGCTTCCTTCCATCTGAACTCCGATTTGTCTTCGTCTCCTTCAGGGGGAGTCTTCGGCTTTTTCCGTCACTTTCCGGCACGAGATCGAAACGACCGAAAAGAACTTGTTTGACTTTCTTTTAAATTATAGGAGAGCGACATCTTGTGGTCACAACTTGAAATTACAACCTCATTTTTGTTTTTAATAAAAAAAGATAAAGCAAATGGTTTTATGTCATTTAAAGCAATATTGTAAATAAACTCAGACTTTACTGCTTCTAATACTAATACAAATTTTATAATTATTTTTTGGTGCCTTTTTCTGTTTTCATTCAAATTTAATTTAACTGATTAAAGTTAAAATAGAAATATTGCTGAGCATTGGCTAATGACAAGTTCTAAATGTTAAAAATAAATAACAAATAAAAAGAAATGTTGGTTTTGATTTTTATATAATCTACATGGAAACTGAATCTCCTTTTACCAGAAAATAAATAAAAAATTAGAGACTTTAAAACCTCATCATATGTGTATTTTATGATTTAATTATTTAGCTTTTTTAATTAAATTTAATGATAATGTATTGAAATGGTGACAAAACTGATTTGATTATATTCATATGATGGCATTTAATGGTTTTATTTTGAAAAACTGATCACATTTCTGATATTTTGCACAATTAAACTGCAGATTTGAGACTCATCATCCTGACGGGCAGGCTTCATGTTTCCTGAGGTGGTTTCAGCACCGCAGGCCAGACCCGGAGGACGCTCTGACTCTGGCAAAACAGGTTCCGGATCCAGTACTTCCTGAAGAGCTCGTCCCGAAAGCCATAGATGAAGGGGCTCAGGAAACGAGGGATGATGTAGACGAGCAGGAAGAAGATGTAGCGGATCTCCAGGCTCAGCAGGGGGAAGATGGAGATGAGAGCGGCCTGCAGAGAGGGAACCACGAAGGCCAGCATGCACAGCAGCAGCTGAGGAGACAAACAGTAACCATGTGTACAACTTTTACCATCTTTACAAGAAAGTTATCCTACATGGAACCTGTGTAGTGTATATACAGGGTTTACACCCAGTAAAAAACAGTACAGTAACTAGTACTAATAAGATATATTCAGGACACTTACAGGATTCGAAACCTAGTATGTAATGAGTACATACGAGGTAAGTACTGAGTCTTTACAGCATTCATACTTACCTGGATTTTTCTGAGCTCACACCTGCTGGGTACATACCTGGCACATAATCAGGTAAGTACCTGGTACTGTCAGGGTATACAACAAGAATTTACCTTGAACTGGTATGTGTGTACATATACCCCATACAGTCCTGGTACTTATCTGGTACATACCTGATACAAACTGTATGCTTAACTGATACTTACTAAATACTTACAGGGTGCATATCTGAGTATGTTATCAGATTAGTATCTGGTACTGTAAGAGTATACATTGAGTATTTATGTAGAAATATTATGTGTGCACATATATACTTTATCTGGTACATACCTGGTACAAGCTGTATACTTAACTGGTACTTATTTAATACTTACAGGGTGCATATTTGGGTATGTTATCAGATAAGTACCTGGTACTGTCAGGGTATGCATTGAGTATTTACCTAGAACTGATATGTGTGTACATATACCACACACAGTCCTGGTATTTATCCTGTACATACCTGGTTCATGCATAGTACTTATCTGGTACATACTAAATGCTTACAGGGTGCATATCTGGGTACGTTATCAGATTAATACCTGGTACAAGCTGTATAAGGATAGAACTGGTACTTATTTAATACTTACAGGGTGCACATCTGGTGCATAATGGGTACGTTATCAGATAAGTACCTGGTACTTACTGTATATACCTCATATATACATCATACAGTCCTGGTACTTATCTGGTACATACCTGATACAAACTGTATGTTTAACTGGTACTTACTAAATACTTACAGGGTGCATATTTGGGTATGTTATCAGATTAATACCTGGTACTGTAAGGGTATACATTGAGTATTTACCTAGAACTGATATGTGTGTACATATACCTCACACAGTCCTGGTATTTATCCAGCACATATCTGGTTCATACATAGTACTTATCTGGTACATATTTAATACTTACAGGGTGTATATCTGGGTATGCATCGAGTATTTACATAGAACTAGTATGTATGTACATATATACTTTACACCATCTTGATACTTATCTGGTACATACAAGCTGTATCCTTATCTGGTACTAACTAAATACTTACAGGGTGCAGATCTGGCGCATAATGGGTACATTATCAGATTAGTACCTGGTACTGTCAGGGTATGCATTGAGTATTTACCTTGAACTGCTTTGTGTMTACATATACCTCCTAATTATCAGGTAATGACAGGCTCAACAGTTGCTCACCATAGGTACCAGTGTTTTCCCAGTAAGTACCAGGTATGTACTGTGCTGTACTACTCATTGCTTTTCCTTGCCTGATGCCCACCTGCCCCCCATGCAGCAGCACGGTGTTCCTGGCTCTCTTCACCGACGTCAGGCTGGTGGACGCAGCTCGGGCTGCTAACATGATCTTACAGTAGGTGTAGAGCAGCGTCAGAACCACGAAGGACAGGAAGAAGCCGTCGAACACGCAGTTCTTGTAGTAGATGGACRGGTGGCGGAACAGGAGGCCGTGGTCACAAAACACCGAGGCGTGGAAGAAACTGGGAGGCTCGCTGAGGACGGTGATGAGGAGGTCTGTGACCGGAGGAGTGGCGGCGAGGACGAGGGTGACACCGATGAGGACGAGGGTGCGGGGGACGGTGCACACCTGGCTGTAGCGCAGGGGGAGGCAGATGGAGAGGAAGCGCTCCAGAGCCATGCCGGCCAGGATGAGAGGGGTGGAGCGGGTGGTGAGGACCGCCGTCATCACCTGAGGATGGAGCAGAGTTGTTTTCCTCTCAGAAAATATAAAAACTGAAGAAATACAGAAATAAAAAAGCAGATTTTTCTTAGGTACACCCAGTTTAAGCTGATTTTTTTTAGGATTTCCAATTAATAACACCAATAAAATCTAACTGAGTGTTCCATGCAACCTTCAGGTGAAAATGAAGACCCCAAACCCAGACCCAAACCAGTGGTTATTCCGTATGT